GAAGCCCTCAGGTGTCACGTCGGTCGAGGCGAGGCCACCAGGCGTTTCATTGGAGTCCACAATCAACCAAGAGGGACCGTCCTGCGACTGTTAGCGGGCGGCCTGACGGTCGGGGCTTTGGGGGGGAGGGAGTACAATCTGATTGAGGCGCTTCGCAGCACCAAGACCGGTAGGGCCAGCACCGATGACGAGAACGTCGACGTTGCTGAGGCGGTGTTAGCAGATGGGGAGAGTAGTGCTTGGGTGCTTGGGGTGCAGTGGGTGCGGCGGGGAGTTCAGAGGGGAGGCGGGGGCGGCATACATCTCTTCCTTGGTAGTAGACATGATGGACTGTGTTCCGCGCTGCAGGATCTCCTGGAAACTCGGGACTCTCTTGAGGGTGTTGCGGGCCAAGCTCAACATACGAACTGCCTGCGGCTTTATGTGTGTCTGTCGGGGGGGGATGGAGGTTAGTTAGGGGGCGGGCAGCGTGGGCGACGTGGAGAAAGTTGGTTATATGGGGGTGGGAATTTGCCCAGGGCTGGCCAGAGCTCTAGCGGCTGTTTCCAAGGGTCTGAGGCGCTAGCGTCTCTGGCGGTGCTCAAGTTTCACGCCGCAAGAAAAGGGGGATCGACGAAAGCCAGATTGCAGGTGTCAAGCAGGTCAAGCAGGTCAAGTAGGTCAAGCAGCGAGGGTACAGCAATTGTGCGAGGTACAGCCTATTAGCATGGGTGTGGGCGGTGGGAGGGAGGGGACATTGGATGGGCGTGGGCGGAGGAGGCGGAGGAGGAGGCGGAGGAGCAGACGGCGTAACTTGGAGCACTGGCAGACTGTGAGACGGAGACGGAGAGCCTGGGTGTGCCAGTGCTGTGCCAGTGCTGTGCCATTGCCGTACCAGTGCTTTGCCAGTGTGTCCAGTACCAGTGCCGGTGCCAGTATGCCAGTGCTCTCAATCCTCAATCCTCAAGGCTCAAGGCTCGCCACCACGCTTCCGCCTGAGACAGCGGGAGGATGTGCGAGTCGATGACCAGTGCTCGGCCTGGCCAGCGCGAGTTGGGAAGAGCGAGTCGGAGCGGCGCCTAGTAATAAAGCCCAAAAACTTTGAATGATCATCATCCTCGAACACTGCGCTGTTGGCTGTTGCTGGCGAGGCCCCGCGACTCCTACAATACAGTAAATAGTACGCGGGTCGCAGTGCAGACCCCGGGCTGCTGCGCGGGCGAGGCTGACGGAACGCTGCCACCCACAATCCGGACTGGCACTCTCACCGTGACGCTGACGGGGAGCGGCGAGGGCTGCGCGCGCCCTGATGGATGCAACGAAACAAGCTCCGTAATGAAGTAATCTCGTCGCGCGTTGCTATTCCTGGCGTCACGGTGGGCTCTGCGGAGCGGGAGAGACAGCAGCTCTCTGCAGGGCGGTTCAAGGACCGCAGGGCTCCAGCTCCAGCTCCAACACCAGCTCCAACACCACCACCTTTCTTCCCCCTAGCAGTGTGCCAGCCACATGGCCGCAGGTTTGCGAGGGCGGGCAGCAGCGAGGGCTAGGGCTGGCCCGGCACCACCGTTCGTCTGGGACAAGCTTTCGCCTGCTTGCCGGTTGGCGTGGTCATGGCCGGCGAGCGGTGGGAGTGGATGCTGGGAGCCCTGGAGTGGATGCTGGGAGAGGTGATGAGAGTGTGTGCCAGGTGCTGGTGCTGGTACTGGTGCTGGTACTGGTGCTGGTACTGATACTGGTACTGTGCTGGGAGTGAAGGTGCAGCAGAGGCCGAGCGGTGCCAGGCGCTGGACTGTCTGCGGAGGGCCTCAATCGCGCGTGGAGCCAGTTGTGTCCCTCTTCTCGTCGGTGTGCAGTGTGCACCATATGTGTCCATTCGTGTGTCCCCATAAATCCAGTGTCGCTGGCTCTGGCTCTGGCTCTGGTTCCCTGTCGGCGACGATCGTGTTATCGTGGTCGGCCGTTTGATGAGGACCAGCGGCCGCCTGCTCGCGAAACGCCTCACGCCCGCGCGCCCAGCCAAAAGCCTCGATTGCGCGTTTGCCCCGATCCAGGCCAGCGTCCCCAGACCGGCTAGCCTGAAATAGCTCCGTCGCTGCTGGATAACTTTGGCCGCACCCCTTCCACCACCTTGCTCTCTCTCTCTCTCTGCTCTTCTCTTCCGACCGTGAAGAACAACTTCTGTCTCTCTCCCCCTTCACAACCCTCCACACCCTCCACACCCTCCACACCCTCCACACCCTCCACACCCTCTCCACACCCCTCCCTCGCACACTCTCGCTCCTCTCGTGTCGCATTCCCCGCGCCCTTGCTGCGCTCCGTCACCGCCCACCATCCACCGTCCGACAAGACTCGACCACTCCGCGCGCCCTAAGCCGGCCTCCCACTTCTCATCACCATCCGCTCCTCCTCCTCCATAACCACCGCAGCAATGGCAGACGAGAAGACGAGAACGTCGAGCGAAGCCCCGCGGGACGCCGCCAATGTCCTGCCCACCATCAACCCGGACGCGCCCCAGCCTGAGCCCAAGGCTGCTCTCCACCCGGCCGTCTACATCGCGTAAGTGCCACATATCGCTGCCAAAGCGCCGTCCACTGCACGTCTCGGCGCCCATACTAACAACCTCCAGCACTTGGATTTCGCTGTCCTCCAGTGTCATCGTCTTCAACAAGTGGATTCTCGATACCGCCGGATTCAGTGAGTAGATCAGTCCAACATGACACGCGGCCAGAAACTAACAGCTTCGCAGGATATCGTATGTTTGCTCGCACCGAATCCCACAATTGACAGCGCTCTGACCTCTCCCAGCTATCTTCCTTACGACATGGCATCTTACCTTTGCGACCATCATGACCCAGATCCTGGCCCGCTTCACCGGCGTCCTCGACTCGAGAAAGAAGGTTCCCATGAACGGCCGCGTCTACCTGCGCGCCATCGTTCCCATCGGTCTCTTCTTCTCGCTGTCCCTGATCTGCGGTAACCAAGCCTACCTGTACCTCTCCGTCGCCTTCATCCAGATGCTTAAGGTGCGTTTTCACGGCTGATCGATCTTCGCTTGCGCTAATTCGGACAGGCCACTACTCCCGTCGCCGTCCTGATCGCGACCTGGTCCCTGGGTGTTGCTCCTCCCAACATGAAGACTCTCGGCAACGTCTCTTTGATCGTCGTCGGTGTCGTCATTGCTTCTTTCGGTGAGATCAAGTTCAACATGACTGGTTTCCTCTACCAGTGCGGTGGTATCGTCTTTGAGGCTGTCCGCCTTGTCATGGTCCAGCGCCTGCTCAGCTCCGCCGAGTTCAAGATGGACCCGCTTGTCTCGCTCTACTACTACGCCCCGGCTTGCGCCGTCATGAACGGTGTTGTCTGCATGTTCAGCGAGCTTCCCCGCCTGTCCATGGACGACATCTACAAGGTCGGCGGTCTGACTCTGCTCGCTAACGCATCCATCGCTTTCATGCTGAACGTGTCCGTCGTCTTCTTGGTAAGTCATGAATTCATCTCGAGACCGCATCAGCTCTAACAAGTTCGGCAGATCGGCAAGACCTCCTCCCTCGTCCTCACGCTGTCCGGTGTCCTCAAGGATATCCTCCTGGTTTTCGCGTCCATGCTCATCTTCCAGGACCCCGTTTCCGGCCTGCAGGCTTTCGGCTACAGCATTGCCCTTGGCGGTCTCGTCTACTACAAGCTAGGTGCGGATAAGCTGAAGGAGTACCTCGGTCAGGGTGGTCGCGCCTGGGCTGAGTACGGCTCCCGCCACCCGGCCATGCGCAAGATGATTGTCTTCGGTCTTATCATCTTCGTTGTCTTCGTCCTCCTCGGTGGCCTTGCTCCCAAGTTCGCCCCTGAGTACAGCGACTACGCCAAGACCAAGGTCGGTGGCCTTCTCGGCGAGGGCGCCGCCGTCCAGGGCGTTGGTGCTGGTTCCGGTTGAATTTTGTCTCCTTGACCATCTTCGACTCGGACGGTGCTTGGGCGTACCGCCTTGGTTGGTTTTTTCGGGAATACACGAGAGGCATGACAGTCCGGGCTGCAATCATGTCCACGACGACACTTGAACACTACCTTCTCGATCACGAACATTTTTAATTCCCCCGACGAATCCCATTGCCGGGCCTCCTCTCATACTTCTATATTTTCGAACAGTAGGGTGAGTCGGCATTTTGCTGCCGAACGGATCGCGATGAAATGCGGAAGGTCCCAGCTATAGAATTGGGGTGGGCGCAGGATGAGTTTCCCTTGTTTGTGTGCGCCATGGGAGCCGGACTTCCCTCTAGGGACAAAACATGCAGCACATGTTCGACACGCGCTTAGGCTTTTCCTTGTCCAAGTTCTGCTTGTCTCTGCGCCTGTTGTATAAGCATGATGGTGGGAGGAAAGGGAAGGCAGGACGAGGTCGACTATGTGTATTCTAGACAACTCGAAAAAATTCTATTGGCGATACTACTACGAAGGAAGAAGGAAGAAGGAAGAACAGAAGAGGCACGCGTGGTCCATGTCATGGAGGTTATCGTTATCGTGAGCATGTATATGTAAGCTACCGGATACGAGCCAGGGACAGACCTTGGCGAGGGGGACGTTCGGATCGCCGACGATTTACGATTTTGTCTCGGATCTATCTGGACGATACGAACAAGGCGGCTGTGCCCACGGGGTTCCCAAACGTGCGGCCCGTCGGGATGGCAGCAGCCGGCCAGCTTTGACGGGATTTCCGGATGATGGAGAAGGGTGGGCATCATCAAACGTTAGATCTATCAGGCGGCTGTTTGGACGGCCTTTTCAAGCACGGCTTTGGTCATTGCATTGCCTTTGGGATTCTCTTGATTCTCATGTCGGTGCAGGAGGGTTAGGGTCCTGATCATCTCTTCACGCTTGTACCAGTGATTGCTTGTTGCAAAGTCAAGGGTTGGTAGTTAATTGGCTCAGTGGAGTGGACGGTAGGTTGGGATGGAGAAGGGGAAGCACTTTCGCTCGGGATATCTGTGTATAACGAATTAGACCCCAATTTCTTCCATAACAAGCAACAAGGTCGTTTAGCTCAGTTGGTTAGAGCGTGGTGCTAATAGTGTAAGCTGTCAACGCCAAGGTCGCGAGTTCGACCCTCGTAATGACCATTGCATATTTCTTTTTGTCTTTTTTGCTTCGTTCTTCCGTTCGGCAAGTTACTTGATGACCCGCCACTCTCTTTTGCTTTGACTTTACGCCATGTTTGGGCGGAATATGATCTGAGGGGATGGATGCACTTGTCGACGGCTGGGGATACGGCGCGGTAGATAGATGTGAGGCTGAAGCAACAAGTCCAAAGCATGCTGTACGAACACGGACACGGACACGAGCTTCATCGAACGCTTCGCTGGATTTGGAACCTCGACCCCACGATCATGAGCATTTCCCAGCCATTGCAGGATTGAGGTAAGTTACGGACAAAAGCAACAAGACAAACTCGTAGCCCTTGCAACAAAAAACGATGATGAGACAAAATTGGCTCGTGAAAGGAGCGAGGAGACTATTGATGATCAGCGCTCGAGAGGCAGACACTAACTAACGTTATGTTAGCGCCCGTTGTCAATCTCCAACGATATCCTTCCGTACCGTAGATGCGCTGGGCTGAACTTCTGTTAAGGTTTGCAAGTTCGGCGGATAGAGCGTGAGTTGCTTTCCGGTCCTTGGGACTTGGAATTTAGATGCCGGCACAACAGAAGTGAGACGCCGGTTTGTATTGCAAAGTTAATGCATTTTCTCTTTCTTTTTTGCCAGCGAATTCCGGCACTGAGGAAAAGCTTAACAACATGCTTCACCGAACTGGGCTGATCATGGCGATCTGTTCATCATCCCGACGAGGCTTGCGACCCGGGGCCCAAGGGCAGTGAGTACACCCAACGTTATCGTATCGAAAGTGACCTGGTTGATCCCACCTAGGCGTCCAAGCAGCCATCCGTCCAAGCAGCTAGCCAGCCACTCCGGACCAGCACTTCACGTGTGGCACAGTGATGGATCCAATAATAAGCACACGAGCCTACGGACGCGTAATAGGGCTCAGCAGCGAACCAACGCTTGGGTTTCACGTATTGGACCCGAGGCTAGATTAGAGGCATCTTCTTCTTCCCACACCATCGCACCATCTCGCACCAACGACGGGCCGGCAGCCGGCGGGTGGCCGGGCGGGCAAGGGAAGCCGGCGGACGGATGGGCGGGGGTGTGCGCCCTAACTAGCTTTCTTTGCTGACTAAAACGACGAGAGGCGTGGGCATGTGAGTGGCGATAAAAGGTGAGTTAAGTGGGCGGGAAGGGCGGAAGGTACATTAAGGTATGTGAAACGGGAGGGCGGTTTCTGTCACCTGTGACGGACGGTCCCAGTGACTTTTGTGTCGAAGAGCTCGTGTCAGAAACAGACGGTCGCAGGCATAGTGTAACCCTATACTTAACCCGCGCAGCGTATCAGAGAGCCGCATTGGGAGCACGATGGTCCTTGGGGATGCGGAACAGGAGAACGGGAGCGCCGGGGCCGAACGGGGGCGAGGACGATTGAAACACAGCACTGCGCGGCACTGAGACGGCACTTTGGCCGTGTACTGCTACAGTGTACAGGGCTTCCATGCCGTGCCATCCAACGGACTACCTGGATCGTCAGAGCCAAGCAAAAGCTTATGGTCAGTACTCAGTATGAAAAGCGATGCCCTCAGAGCACTTGTATTATTAGTTGGTTGCTACCTGAATGCTGCAGAAGTGACATCAACACGAAATCCTACCGCCGAGAGCCCAGAGAATCCATGTAAACACCAGCTTCATCAAGCTGAATATCCATAGCCCACCCAATCCAATCCGTCGCCAATTTATCAAACCCAAGGAAAACAAGTCATCCCATCGTCACCCACCGACGGTAACTCCGTCCCACCAACACCCGACTCCTAGCAGTTTTTTTTTTCGGTCCCATGTCTGCGGTAATCAAGGTGCAGCAGACACCTGGCTTTCCTCCTCGGCCGCCCGACGGAAGTAGTCCATGTCGCTGCCATGGCCCATAGCTGCGGTTGGCAAGTCAGTGCCCAAACCACTGTCGCTCGGTGCCGCATAAACGACATGTCCCTTCTCGCCATCGCCCTTGTCCAACGACGCGTCTGCACCGGCGACAGCATCCTCTTCCTGCAGCGAGTCCACTCTTGCGGCCTCACCTGCCTCCTCGACCGAAGCATGCTCAGTCTGCTCATCCGCGTCAGACACAGACTCAGACTCGGCGTCTTCTCCCTCGTCTCCCGCGACGTTGCCCAACTCGGTGGTGCCATAGCTGGTGCGTCTGTCGACTTCGCTGCCGGTAAGGTAAGAGCCCGTGCCGTACGTGTACTCGCTGCCTTCGACGCCATAGCTGGTGCGACGGTCGGTGCCAGGAGTCACACCCTCGGCAACACTTTCTGTGTAGGACCCCGACTCGTAGGACGACGACGCGGCGTCGTGTGTGCCCGTTCCAGTAGCGTAGCTGTGCCGCCGCTCTGTACCAGCATCGCTGAGCAACTCGTCCGCTGCCTCGTGCTCCGGTTCGTCTTCTTCGCTCAGGATGTCGTTCTCCTTGTTCATGTCGGCAGCCTTGCGCACTGCTGCCCCGCCCCAAGAGCCTTTACGCGCCGGGTTAGTCTTGACTGAGTGGCTGCGCTTGAGACCGGTGTTGGATAGGCCGGATACGCCTGTGAAGGCATGGCCGCCGGTGGGAGTATTGCCGCTGATCTGGCTAAGTGAGAGGATACGTCGACCGGCTGGGTTGACTTGCTGTCCACCGTTGTTGCGGCGCACGGCTGGACGGGGATTCAGTGCCATGGACAGACCCTTCGCACCGATGCTGGGCGGTGGCATGCGTTCTCGGTCTAAGTCGGCGTTGCGGGTGCTGCTGGACTCGGTTACCGGGACTCCCTTTGCAAGAAGCAGAGCGCGGGAGTGGTCCATGATGCCGTTGAGGATGCGGCGCTCCAAGGCATCGGCCTTGGTATCCATGGATTGAAGCTCTTCGCGACGAATCTTGAGCGCCATTTCGAGTGCGGAGACGTCTGCATTCAGACGTGACTTTTGGGAAGCCAAAGCCTCTTTCTCAGCATGAAGCTCCTCGACAGCCCTGCTGAGCGAGTCCTTCTCGTCGTTGAGGTTGTGGATGTCGGCTTCGATCTGATCTTTCTGGACGAGGCGGCGTTCGAGCAAAAGAGCTGCCTCTTCTGCCTCCTTCTCCTTACTTTCATGGCCTTCAGTGATGAGTCTTGTCTGAGTGGTGACGAATTCCGTCACTTGAGCCGCTGTCGTCATCACTTGCTTGTGGATTTCTTCAAGACGCTCGAGCTGAGCAACCTCCTTCTCGGCATCGGTAGCATGACCAATCAGCGTGTCTAGCTTCTCATGAAGTTTAGTGTCGTCGTATTGTTCTACCGGTTCAACAGCTGCAGGCGGCGGTGGCAAGAGAGCAGGAAGACCGGAAAAGCTCTCTTTGATCTCTTCGGCGCGGGCTTTTGACTCTTCGGCTGCTGCACGAGAATGTTCCTGGGCAGCTTCTTGGGCTTTCTGGGAGCTTTCGTAGTGCTGGTTTACGAGGGCAAGGACCTCCTGTAGAGTGACCATGAACTTCGGATGGTTTTCCGTGACGTCGCTCTGGAGGCCATCTATAGCCGCCAAAGCCTTAGAGATCTCGTCCCGGGTGAGTTGATGCTCGGCCTTGTTTTCGGTATGATTTTCATCGAGCTTCACCACCGCCTCGTCTACGCGGCCAAAGACTGTGCTTGAGTCGCCACTCATCTTCTCAGAAGCTTCGGTGAACGTGGTTCCCATTGTAGTCACGGTCGTGCCGAGGGTATCGATGGTCAGCTTCAGCTCATCGGCCATTGTCTTCGTGCTGGAGAGCAACTCTTCTTGTGTCGTCGTCTTTTCGTCCAGTTTCTGCGCCTGGGATTCCGCGAGCACGAGCATGTCGTCGTACTTGGACATCATCGAGTCGAACTTCTCGTCGAGCTTGGCCGCGATCTCAACGATGACAGCTGCCTTGGCTTCGTCGTGCTTTTCCAAGTGGGCAGCGGACCTCGCGTCCGATTCAGTCTTCAATTCGTCGATGGAACCATGTGCCCGCTCGAATTCGCGGTTGACAGTCTCCATGAGCTCTTTGACATCTGCAGTAACGTTGAAGTTCGTGGTGATGTTCTCTTCCAAGCCATGGACGGAGTCCTTGATCCCATCGACGCCCTCGCTTCCCTCCTGAATCTTAGCCTTGATCTCTTCTTTGACTTCTTCCAAGAATGCTTTTACACCCGCGATGTTCTCTACGAGAGTTTCTGCCTCTTTCTTGCGATCATCGAAAGCTTGAGCTGTGACAGCTACATCGCTTTCGTAGCTGTCTTTTAGCTTGTCATGGCTGTCACGGAAATCGTGGATCAGTCCGACCAGCTGCTCGACATCGGCTTTGACAGGCAGAGAGTCGGAAGTCGGTAGCTGGTCGAGCTTTTCTTTGATTTCAGCACACAAGGCCCCGACGAGGTCTACGTCGCCTTTAGTGACTCGATCGGCAATCTCTTCCTCGGTTGGAGCGGTTGGTTGAGCAGCCTTCAACTCATCAAGAGCAGTCTTCAGATCTTGAACCAGAACTTCGACAACGGCCACGTCGCCCTTCGAAGCGACGTCTTCGCCGAATTTGGCAGCGAGTGCATCGACTACATCGCCAGTCTGTTTGACAGCAGCTTCGACGCCGTCGATGTGCTCCTTGGTAATCGCAGCTTCGGGATCTGGAAGGACGATCTCATCCAGCTTCGCTCTGGTGTTTTGGAGAAGCGTCTCGATGGCATCGGTATCTTCCTTCCTAGCCATGCCTTCCGCCGGAGCAGTTTCGCGCTCAGAAAGAACCATTACGGTCGCTTGGATATCCTTGAGCATCTCCTCGACGCTTGCCAGGTCCTCCTTCATTGCGGTTCCAGGAGCAGGCTCGGCCGGTACAGCGACAGGTGGTGCTTGGTTCTGAAGGTTCTCATCCATAGCCTCGACCTTGATCTGCAATTGAGTGAGCATGACTTCGACTTTCTCCAAGTCATTGCGACGCAGACTCTCAGGCGCGGCGGATGGTCCGTCTTCAGGAATATCGCGGGAGAGAGCCTTGTCC